GGGCTGCCGCGCCTGTCAGCAGTGCGGGCCGAAACCGGCACGATACCAGGTACCCCTAAGGCCGTTCCGCGTCAGCCGCACGAATCAGCTGGTCGGGATCGATCTACAGGGGCCATTCCCACGATCCCATCGAGGCAACCGGTATATTCTAGTCGCAGTAGAGTATTTCACCCGCTACCCCGTGGCGGTGGCTATCCCGGATAAAACAACCCTCGTAGTGGCCCGGGCCTTCGTGGAAAACTACGTACTTAAGTGCGGGATCCCCGAACGAGTCATTACCGACCAGGGTAGTGAATTCGAGGCCGAACTATTTCAGGGGCTGTGCCGAGAGTTCGGGATCCAGAAGGACCGAACCACGGCGTATCACCCCCAGGCGAACGGGATGGTAGAGAGGATGAACCAGACTCTGGCCGGGAAGCTTAAACGCATGGCGGCCGCGAATCAACAGGACTGGGACGAACACCTTCCCTATGCCCTGTTCGCCTACACCACCGCCGTTCACACCTCTACAGGACAGACCCCGTTCCTAATGATGTTTGGTCGCGAGTCTCACCTGCCCGCAGATCTGCTGTTCGGTGTCCCTCCGCCGCAACGGGAGGAAGGGAGCCACCCCGTGGAGCACTTGCTGGAGACCCTGCGAGGGGCCAGGGGCCGAGCCTACCCGCACGGAGAGGCCGCGCACCAGCGGCAAGAGCAGGGCGCCCGACCCCGTATGGAGCCCCCCTTCTACACTGCGGGCTCCGAGGTGTGGCTGTACACTCCTCGCGTCGGTGCCGGACAGGTGGGGAAGCTGACCACCTACTGGCGAGGACCCTGGATTGTGAGACGGCAGATCTCCCCATGGACGGTGCTGATTCAGGGAGGAGAGAGGGGCCGGGAGATGGTGGTCAACATCCGCCGACTGAAGCCGTGGCGAGCAGCCCCCGAGGGGGGGAGCCCCGCCGTCCAAGTACCCCGAAACCCCGGGGTCCCCCCACCCCCCGTGCCCGGGGGCCTCACGCAGTATATGGGCCCCACGGAGCCGCGGGCTCCGAGGGGCCGGGGGCGACGAGGACGGCGACCCTTAAACCCCACCGCCTCTGAGTTTGTTCCCCAGCCCGCAGGTGCCAGAGGCCGAGGAGAGCCGTTGGAATGGAGGAGGAGACCACCGCCGGAGCCCCAGGAGACGGAGCCGCCACCCCCGAGGCCAGCCACAAGGGCCGGGCGAATCCCGCGGACCCCGCGGCGATACCTCGTGGGGGCAACCCAGGCGAGGTGCTCCAGTCAACCCGGGACGGGGACTGGCACCCCGGGGGGCTATGTGGTGCCACAACGACGGGGCCGCTCTGCCGAGCCAGGGAGCCGCCCGGCTTCCACCACTGCACTGCCCCCCATCACCCCCCCCACATAAGCACACACCCGCACGCATTCCCCCCCCCCCCCCCCCCCCCCATAGAGCTGGAAGGGAAGGTTACCTGATCGACCGGTTTTTATCCGAGAGACCCTTATCGGGATTAATTCTCACGGTTTCCGGCGATCAGGGAATTGGATGACCTCCCCCGTGCTACGTGGCACCGCGGCGCTGCGGCCGGCCTTAATATGGTGTGGTCGCGGCGTGGGGCATTCGGCCACCGCGGTTGAGGCGCATTTCCCCCCACACACGCGAGTATCGACGGGGCAGGCAGAGGGAATAAGCATTGTGATGGAGGAGCTTCATTAGAAAACACGCAGGCACAATTATTAGGGGAGTTAAAGGAGAAGGCTATTAGTATGAATAACCTGGAGAGCGGGGTCACGCGGGCAGCCGTGCACAAATTCCCACGGCGCGCCTTTGTGATGGACACCGCCGCATGAACCTCGATGATGGGGGCCTGCGTGAGAAAAGGATTGATTGGAATCTGCGCCGTGCAGGTCGCTCATTGATTAGCGGAACAAAGGCACCGCGGAGCTGTCTGGCCCGGGCGACGGGGGCGCGTGCCATTGTTTGGAGTTCACGCCGCGCGGACAAAGGATTAATTAGCATAGCGAAGGCGCACGGTGCGTGGGAAGGGGGTAGGGGTCCGGGAATCAGGATAAATGGGGAGCGCAAAGGGGAAATCGCTCTCTTACTCCAACGCCAGGCGACCAGATGCAGCTCGAGCCAGCGACCCGGACGGCCGTGCGACGCACCGAGGCACGCGGTTAGCACCGGGATCAGCGGACCGCCGTGGACACTTAACAGTGAGTAAGAAGGTGAATTAGAATCATAGCCGATAAATAGGGAATAGGTGCCGGTTTAGTGGAATAGGCCAGCCTCGTCGACTCACTGATTGAACATTAGTTACCAGGTAATAAATCATTAATAGCGAAGCGTGGTCTCGCGTGATCTTGTCGTGCAGTGTGAGCGTGTGGGAACGCGTGTGGTACGGTGTGTGCGTAAGCTCGCGGCGTGCGTAATAGGCGTACCCCAGGTGCGCGATCATAACGTAAGCGGCCAGCAGACGGCGAGCGCTGCGCAGAGCGGCGCAAGAGGGGGTATCGCGTGTGGAGCTGTATGCGTGTGTGCGCGCACGTTCACTACGTGTATGATACAGGTGCGCGATCGTAACGCGAGTGGTCAGTGTTGAGTGAGTGCCGTGCAGAGCTGTGTGTGTGGGTGTGCGCGTACGTAATTAACCATGCCTGCTACGCGGACCCGCGGTGGAGGGGAATCCTCGGGCGACGGCTCCCACACCATGGGTGAGGAACTCAGCAGCGGTTCGCTTAGCAGCGGGGGGGCGATTGATGATGCTAGCCCGGCCGTTAGCATTATCGAGGGAGGGATTTCGGGGGCTAGCGACCCCCACACTTCCCCCTGGCAGTTTGTCCGTTAGAGAGGCGGGGAGAAACTCTGGCGAAGGTGAGGAGTGGATCCTCGCTGTGGGTGGGTGGTACGGTGGTGCGAGTCTGTGTGTGTGGTGTGAGTCTGTGTTTGTGTGAGTCCGTGTGTGTTTGTATCCGTGTGTGAGTCTGTGTGTGTGTGGAGTGGTTAACGCGCTGCGCTATGAACCCGGTGACCCAGAATTGGATTCCCGCTCAAGGTCAACACCAGTGACGATTATATGAACCGGTACTGGGCCTCCCCTAGGTCGACTCAGCCTCAAATGAGTACCTGGTGTGGTGTGTAAATATCGCCACTCGGAGACAAAGGCGGCCGGGCGCGGTGTTGGCCACCCATGCCCTCGTGTGCTGTTCCGGCCTTCATAGGTGATGCTGGCTAACAGCACTTGCCCCAACAGTTTATTTCAGCTATAAGGGGGATCTTTATCTTTGATGTTCGTGGTGGTGTTAGTGGTAGTGTTGTTGGTGGTGTTGATGGTGGTGCTGTTGGTGTTGTTGGTGGTGGTGCTGTTGGTGTTGGTGGTGCTGGTGACGGTGTTGATGATGGTGATATTCTTGTTGGTGGTGGTACTGGTGTTGGTGGTGATGTTGATGGTGTTAGTGGTGTTGGTGGTGGTGTCTGTGGTGGTTCCAACGATCCATCCTGGGTTTAACCTAGCTGGATTGTGTGAGGAGCTCACAAATCCTTGAAGGATCTGGACACATTCCCACCAGTAAGCTCCTCCGGTAGGCAAGGCTGCGTTGGCTGGGTCTTGTAGCCTGCATACCCAAGCGGTTTCTTTTTGGCCGCATAAAGGGGGCTAAACGGCCACGACATGGGCTGTCGAAAATATGGACTGATGCTGTATGGGAGGATGTTGAGTGGACTTGTGAAAGACTGGTACCAGTGGTGTAAATAGCATCCTTCACGAGGAAGCTCGTGAAGGAGGCTACTGGACAGTTGGAGGCAGTCTGCCTCCAACAACAACTGAGGGCAGAGGAGTGACGCTCACAACGAGTGGCGGATAAAATTCGGCAAGTTGGCACAGTTGGGCATACAGCTGGTGTATCTACCAAGCATCTCAGCCAACCTTTGGAACCTGGGTCTGTCCCGTGACGTCTTGTCAGCGAGCCTTCGACACTTCGCGTGGCCTGAAAGTGCACCTGGCCTGGCACAGGCGCCGTGGTGACATCATCGCTACTTAGTGGCGAATGTCGGTTGTTGTTTTTGTGTTTCGTGTTGTGAGTGATTGTGTTGATGATGTGGGTTCATAGTGTGCGTCCGCATTGTGACTTGACTTGTGTTGAGATGTGGGTGCCGTCACACCCCCTCGACTCTATGTGATCCTCGGCTTCGTCTCCTGCTTCGCACGCAGAGACCTGGACTGCGCGAGAGACGCTATTAGTTCTGTGCACCCTGCTCTGCAAGTTGCCACCATGGAGGTACGTGTGGCTCTTCGACTCGTGTGGTCAAGTATTAATGGACGTGTGCTCTCCACTCCGCGTGTGGCTGTCACCTATCCATACACCTAAGTGTGCATCTGCTTGGCTGCCTGAGTGTGTGTGCATCTATCAGAGTATCTCCCCAAGATCCTCTCTGTGTACCTGCCTTTCTACGTTTTAATAATCTACTGTACTTTTATCTATCCACTACTGGATAAAGGCCTCCTTCCTTGAGACCCTGCTACCCCTCACGATCCTGCGATGGAATAATCCACCAAGCACCGATTTTGTCGCTCCATCTTTCTAGCAGCCGTCCTCTCAGACGTGTTCCGATACTTGGCTGCACCTCCGTTATTGTTCTTGACCATCAGCCATCGTTGTTCCTCGTGGTCGTGGCATGTCCTGGCCCAGCCCTACTTCTCTTAACAGTTTGAAGGATGCCATTAATCTGCGTGTGTCCTTTAAATACACACGTGTCTCATTGTTAATCCAAGTGTGACATCTAACATTGGCCAAATATCCGAACGCTGAGAACTGACATCTCAGCAGGACCCTCCTGAATGTGGAGCCCAGGATCTCAGAGATCCTGGCTCAGTGCTTGCCGCTTGCACTATCCCCCACATCTTGCTAAAGCCTATGTGGTGGACCTTTGTCTTTGTGTGCGTGTAGATGAGCCAATCTGGAGAGGCGAGGAATAAGGGCGAATCTTGTACCACGTGGAGGGCGCTGTCCTCAGGGCACCATCTGCATCAAATCACCGCAAGGTAAGAACAGGAATGAGGGATGTCACAGAGGGCCATGGTGAATGGTGGAACATCCCGATGGCCATGTTGCATGGTGGATGTCACAGTGGCCATGATGCATTGAAGATTTCATAGCGGCCATGATGCATGAGTGATATCCAGGTGGCCAAGTTGCATGGGGGACTTCATGTTGGCAGTGTTGTATGGGGGACTTAATGGTAGCCATGTTGCATGGGGGACTGCATCATGGTGGCCATGTTGCATGGGGATGATTATTTGTGCTCTGGCCTCAGCACATCACACGCTTTCAGATGCGCTTCCGATATTAGGAAGCCACTGGAGCGATACACTTTTAAATCATCTAGATTGAAAACTCATTTCTTGAGAACTTATTTGGGGCATCAAGTCCGATTTAGTTACATTTAATTTGTATCCCGAAGCACCTCCATATTCCGTCACTAAGGCCAGAACGGCGGGGAATGAGGCCTCCGAATTTGGGTGATGAGCAGGTGTCGCCACCCCACACCAGCAGGGGGCGGCATAAGGGTAGCCGGTTCGTGAAGACCTGGCCCACGCCGCCTGGAACAGTGGAGAAGTATCAAGAAGCGTGATAAGGGAGGGTGGCTTTCTACAAGGGGTAGGAGTGGTCCCTTCATCGCGCCTTCTTCTCTCGTGATTAGACTGCTCTTTCTCTCCATCGCGATGCTCAATGTTTACTTTCAGTCGGAACGCTCCGGATCGCTACACCGGGAATAATGTTGCACTCGCACTCACCAGCGTGGTGAAATATCAAATGACCCCCATTGTTAACGCGACGTACGGGAAGGGCCTTCATCCGTTGTGCTGAGAATGACTGGAATGGATTTTATTTTTGACGCATGCTGCAGTATCCTGCATTTGGGGAGTGGCAGTTTCTTGACAGTCTAATTGGGGACAGTGAAAACACAGGGGTTGTCAGATATTGCCACACTCGGAATGAGGAAACTGAGAAGTGATGGGAGTGGAAGTGGAGGGCATTTGTTCCAAAGAGGACGTCGCCGATACGTTCCACGTCCTCATTGGGGTTTCCTTCTGGCTCCCCGTGCGCGACCGTGAGGCTGAGATCGCCCGAGTCTTGGGCCATGCGACCCGCGCTCTGTGGTGGCGACATGTGGGCAGAGAGCCGCGTCACTCAAACAATTGCTCGGTCACCAACTCAAGAGGACAGAGATCCCTCCCATCGCCTCAAGAGACCGCCGGGGCAAATGTTGCGAGCGAACATCTGCTAAGGCCGGGACGGCACATGAGGGGGTGAAGTGGCCAGCACGGAGTGGGTGGCCAGAACTAGGCCCGGCTCACTCTGTCTCCCCAGTGATCAACCCTTGCCTCCATTCGGACGAATGGCCAAGTGAGGGAACAGCTGATGGGAAGCAGGTGGCCAGGGTGGGTTGATGAACAGTCAGCTGGATGAGTTCTGAACATGTTGCAGGTTGGTGTGTAGAGACAAGGGTTAAAGGGTGACCGATAATAACAAAATGTGAAAGCTGCCTTCTGTTTACCCAGGAGAGCCCTACTGAGTCTTAAGACATTATCAGGAGGCTCCCGCTAAATTGGAATGTTTGGCCAATTGAATGGAGTGGTGCATGTGGGAAGAAACGGTACCAAGTAGAACGCCATGCATATGACAAGGATGTACCTCAATGATACGGATAGATGGAATCAAGAATCCATCGATGCACGCCTTCGACTAGTCATCTGGTGGCCTAAGCCCACAACACCCGGTATTCCCAGGGAGTCTCCCATCTAAGCACTAAGCCCAGGCCTGCTTACTCTCCCAGAGTCAATGAGATTGTGTGGTGTATTCAAAGCCATTGGGTTGAAGGTAATCGACAGGCAGAGCGAGTGGTGGGCGCGTGGATGGCAGTACAAGCGGCTGATGTAGACCGCTCTGATTGGATAGAGGTGATCGAGCCAGATGATTGCGTAAGGAGTAGCAGAGTGGTGCATCGTAGCCGTGATCACACATCGAGTCGTCAAGCAGGTATTGTGTGCAATGCAGTAGAAACCAGTTCTGAACTGTCACACCGGTGGTGAGAGGCTGCTGACTTGGGGATGTTTGCTCCAGCTCCAATTCGGAGTTGGGCCAACTGTAAGAAGAGAGGCCGCACACTCGAACTTGGGCTGGCCATGACCATTTTACCAGTGGTCGAGATCCTCCCGCGAGCTCAGGGAGGCCGGCTCGGGGCGCTGGCACTGTAAGTCGGCCACGGCGAGGGTCTGGAAGTATGGGGATGTCTGCTGCGGGCGGCCGCCAGACGGGACGCCGGGTCGCTGTGCGGCAACGACGACGACGGGGAGGACGATGATGAGGGCGACGGGTGCGAGCAGCAGGGGCAACAACTGCGACAGAAAAAACTGATGAGGCATTGGCGCTCACATAGAGGATAGCGCACCACGTTCCGGACCTGGCGAGCCGAGTTCGAGTCAATCTCACGGTTAAGAATGGCAACAGCAAACATCACAACCGATTCCCCATCTTCCTGTGCGCTTCTCGTGATCACCTGGCTTATAATAGTTGCGCATTTACAAATGTACCAACTTACTTAGATTCAGATGAATACGAGAACCTGGTGTGGCATGTAGTGAACGTCAGCACGGGGGAGACGAAGGCAGCCGGCCATGGCTCTGGTCACACCACCTCCCTTGTGTGCAGTGCCGTTCTTCATAGGTGCGCACTTGACCTCATATTCTGTGTAGGCTACAAGTGTGCAAGTGTGTGCAAGTGTGTATATACAATGGAGTGTAGAGAGTGGAAAGTGGAGAGTTTTCTAGATCTGGGCAGTGTGCTTATGATCAGCTCCGGTTTGACAGCAGAGGTCTCACTCTGAATCAGTCAGGCAGCATTATATATTAATCGGCTGTCTATACTTGTGAAATGTGGACCCCTGTCATGGAACATCTGCGCTGGTTTGAAACATTTAGGCTGGCCTCTCTACAATCCATCCTTGGTTTAACCAGGCTGGATTGTGTGAGGGGCTCACAAATCCTTGAAAGATCTGGACACAGTCCCATCAATTAGCTCCTCCAGCAGGCAACGCTGCATTCGCTGGGTCATGTAGCCCTCATGCCCCACCACCGCATGCCCAAGCTGCTTCTGTTTGTCCAGTTAGAGGGCTAAAAGGGCAAGACATGGGCTGGATTAGAGATGGACTGATGCAGGACTGGAGGATGTGGAGCTGAGTGGACTTGCTGAAGACCGGTACCAGCGGTGTCAAGATCGGCCTCTGTGGAGGAGGCTCGTGAAGGACGCTGCTGGGCAGTTGGAGGCAGTCGCCCTCCAGCAACAACGGAGCGCGGAGGAGCGACGCTCACAACAACGAGCAGAGCGCTGGGTGGCTAAAGCACAGCAAGTTGGCACAGTAGGGAGCACAGGTGGTGCATCAGCCAGTCATCTCAGTCATCTCAGTCAGTCGACCCGTGGCACCTGGGTCTGCCCCGTGACCTCCTGCCAGCGGGCGTTCGACACTTCACGTGGCCTCAAGGTGCACATGGCCTGGCACAAGCGTCGTGGTGATGTCACCACCACTTAGTGGCGAATGGCGGTTGTTGTTGTTATTGTTGTGACTATGGATCTCTATGTAAATCTTCGTGACTCTATGGGTGTCTCTTGGAGGAGAGTGACAAGAGCAGGGGGGGTTCTTACCATAGGCAGCTAGAAACGAAGTCTACCAAGGTGGGGTCGTGAGTGGCGATCGCCTCGTGGAGCGGGTAGCTCCCTGAGAATATTCTCTCATTCCAAGGCATCCCCGAGCCGTCTGTGGGAATGACGAGATACAGGAAGAACACTGTCACAAACCACGTTGGCCTCGCACAGCCGCCAGTGCAGAAATGCAAAAAATTTAGCATGATGACTCAGCGTGGGGTTGGGATCCGCCACACCATCCTGGGTTTTGACTGCGGTATTAATTTTTACCGTGAAATATTTTGCAAGTGCCAGTTAAATACCCCCGTAACATCATTCCAAAGGAGTAGACCGTTGTGTGCCAACGTCATGGTCCGAATTAGAACATTTACACTGCCAATGACTTAATTGGGACGAGACATGGCGACATTAACCCTGACGTGCAATTACTTCGGGCTTCGTCTGTGATTTCCCAAACCTCCGATTAGCACTGTTGGTTTTGTATGGTGCGAAATAAACTAAACGTACATATATAGCTGTAAACTTTCAGAAGAATGCACATACTAAATATGCTACATTTGTATTAACTATTATGTTAAACCCTATAGGATCAATACATAGGTTTTATTAACTTTAATTTAAATTCACAATTCATATTTACCGCTTGAAACCTATAGCCCCGACAACCAACGTGAATCACAATGGTGCATTATATATCATAAGGCATGGTTGGTCGGAAATAATTCATGATCTATTAATATTTTTTTCGTCTTGCCAAGATCTGTCCAATTTTGCATCGTAATACCCTCCACCATCCTAAGCAGCCAAACAAAACAAATGGTCATGACGTGTTGTATAAGCGTTTGATGGCGGCTTATGATCTCGTCTTCTGAATGTTTGATGCAGTGTCGAGCGAAGCGTCATTATCTCGTTGGCAAATTTGGTTGTTGTGAGGATTTCTCTTCAACGTGTCCCAGTAGTTGAGTTTAAACGACCATAATTGGTGTGTCGTTTCAAAGCTTGTGCATGTGGCCATTCAATTTGTTTTGGCTTTTCGAGTGGCAGATGGTCCTAAGGACACAAACATGATCAGCTATCACCCTCCGCTGCAACTCACCAAAGTATTGATCCTTGCAGGGAGCAGTATCCCACGCAAACCCAGGAGGCACACCATGACCTACACACGAGGCAGACAAAGACAAAGGTCCCCCATGAAGCCTTAACAGATTTTTGCAGAAATTGCTATTAGCAATCACCACAATAGTTACTCGTTTCAGGCTGCGCCAATCTTGGGGAGACCCAGGACTGGTTTAGAAAATCGTAACTGACGTTGATAGTCAGTGGAAATGGAACTTGGGTC